ACCGTGTTGGTTGTCAAGTGATAAAAGTGTGCGAACCAAATGGAAATCGTTGCTAGCAGAGCTTTACTTGTAGTGAAGGACAAATATGGCGACGATGTGGAAAGCAGCGACGGCGACAGTTCGTCCAGTGAGGAACCTGCTGTAAGTTCTTAATGCTTTTGAAATTAGATTATTATGCGTTTTGTGCTGTTTAATAGCGTTACAAAACGCATATTTTCACGGGGTTGTCTGTGTGTGTGTGTGTGTTTGTTTGTGTGTGTTCCACTTTTTGTCCCGCACTTTCAACTCGGGAACCACAAAAGCTAGACGGCTGAATTTGGTATAGTGTTCCCCGCCAACGGGTGACGCGGCAACTTTAAATTCAGCCTTCCCATACCCGCGGGTAACTCGTAAGGCCCCGTGAAAGTTTTTTACAGGCAAATCAATATCTCAGGAACCACGGAGTCTAGGAGGCTGAAATTTTAGGGTAGTGACCCCCTGCCCACGCTCAGTCTTGCCCATTCAAATTCAGCGTTCCTTCGCTCTTGAATATCATCTGCAGCCTCGTGAGGATTTTGGCGGTTAAACTATTAACTCGGGAATCACGGAAAGATATTCATCCTTCAAGGTTTCGAATTCAGCTTTCATACGCAGGTGCGTGAAATTTTTAAATGTTTTCCAATGTTTGAACTATTTTTGCATAGACTGAAGTACGAAGCAGTGAAAATCATTAACAGGAACTGTTTTCCAGTGTTTGAACTATCTTTGCATAGACTAAAGTACAAAGCGGTGAAAATCATTAATAGGCAGTCGTTCGATGGGCTGAATTGCACAAAACGCATGATCGCACCGACTAGTCTGGTGCGCATTGCTATTTATTTTTTATTTTTTTCTGAAATGTTAGGCCTTCAAATGCCTTTTTTTCTGCGATCGACGCAAAATAATGCGCTGCCCCCCTCCCCTCTCGCTTCGCTACTAAAATTGCTGACAACTTCTTTTTTACTGATAAATAAATGCATTTTACTTTTTTTTTTACTGATAAATGAGGGATTGGCGACCTAGTTTTTGTGCGTTTTTTGCAGCTATGCAATGCGGAAAACGCATATTAACGAGAGGTTGCCTGCGTGTATGTGTGTGTGTGTGTGTGTGTGTGTGTGTGTGTGTGTG